CCCCGGACCCTGCATTCACTATATCTGGTCTCCCCGGACCCTGCATTCACTATATCTGGTCTCCCAGGACCCCGCATTCACTATATCTGGTCTCCCCGGACCCTGCATTCACTATATCTGGTCTCCCCAGGACTCTGCATTCACTATATCCGGTCTCCCCGGACTCTGCATTCACTATATCTGGTCTCCCCTGACCCTGCATTCACTATATCCGCTCTCCCCGGACCCTGCATTCACTATATCTGGTCTCCCTGGACTCGCTGCATTCTCTATATCTGGTCTCCCGGACCCTGCATTCACTATATCTGATCTCCCAGGACCCGCATTCACTATATCCGGTCTCCCCGGACTCTGCATTCACTATATCCGCTCTCCCCGGACCCTGCATTTACTATATCTGGTCTCCCAAAGTACACACAACATGGAAATCCAATTGTTTTAGTAAATATAAACTGCTAAATACTTTTTCTCATTAGCAGTTAGGGCAGTCTTGTGACTTCTATCAGTGTCCAGCTGAGCATCTACAGCAGCTTGTAGGAGTTTTCATTTTTCTCTAGAAGGATGCAGAACCCCTGGCCTCTGTCTAGACAGTGCTGATTGGCCTTGTTCTGATCACTCTCCCAAGATAAGAAAAACCTCTCTAGCAATACACACCAAACTGAGCATGTGCAGAGTGACTCCACATGATATGTCTTATCAGGAGATAAAAGGGGGAACTGGAAGAAGGGGAGGATCAGAGAAGTCAGGATCAAACAGCCTTTTTACACAATGCAGAGGATTAGCCCCTTAGGTTCCACAGTGAGTATAACAAGCATGCTTTACTGCATATACAGACTGATTGTACTGTTGTGGGTGTAGTCACACTTTAAGTGTTACTATAGCCCCTTTACATACATTATAACACCCTTTGGGGGGGGGGGGGGTTCCACTCTACACTGCCCCCTAGCAGTTTACACTTGTGTTGCACGTTGGACTTTCAGTGTGTTTTTTGTTCAGGGCATACGAGTTAGCAGGGTTGATTTACTGAAGGCAAATAGGCTGTTCACTTTGCCGGTGAAATTGCACTTTGTAAAGACATGATCCCCAGAGCTTAGTGAATGCGGTGCGAAGAATACCCAATCATGTGCAAAAAAACAAACACGCTATATTTTTGCTCACACGATTGAATGATGTCAGCAGAGCTGCACCGCATTCACTAAGCTCTGGGGAGAATTCCCTCGCTAATTAAACAGCTGATTTGCCTTTAGTAAATAAACCGTATTGCGCACATTATCTGTGTGCGGTGTGATTGTGCGCTGCCATGCACCGCAAGACGTTTTGGAAATGCATTGCAGTGCTGGGATTTTTTTTTTCTTTTTTTTCTATTTATATCTGTGTTGCAGGGCTTTGGAAAGCAATACAGGACATTTGAATGCACTGCAGAAAAAAAATGCAACATTCATTTAGTTCAGGTACTTCTATACACCACCAATGTACACAGCGCTTTACATACAGTCAGGTCCATAAATATTGGGACATGGACACAATTCTAACATTTTTGGCTCTATACCACCACAATGGATTTGAAATAAAAAACAAACAAGATGTTCTTTAACTGCAGACTGTCAGCTTTAATTTGAGGGTATTTACACCCAAATCAGGTGAACGGTGTAGGAATTACAACAGTTTGCATATGTGCCTCCCACTTGTTAAGGGGCCAAAAGTAATGGGACAGAATAATAATCATAAATCAGACTTTCACTTTTTAATACTTGGTTGCAAATCCTTTGCAGTCAATTACAGCCTGAAGTTTGGAACGCATAGACATCACCAGACGCTGGGTGTTTCATCCCTGGTGATGCTCTGCCAGGCCTCTACTGCAACTGTCTTCAGTTCCTGCTTGTTCTTGGGGCATTTTCCCTTCAGTTTTGTCTTCAGCAAGTGAAATGCTTGCTCAATCGGATTCAGGTCAGGTCAGGTGATTGACTTGGCCATTGCATAACATTCCACTTCTTTCCCTTAAAAAACTCTTTGGTTGCTTTTGCAGTATGCTTTGGGTCATTGTCCATCTGCACTGTGAAGCGTCCAATGAGTTCTGAAGCATTTGGCTGAATATGAGCAGATAATATTCCCGAAACACTTCAGAATTCATCCTGCTGCTTTTGTCAGCAATCGCATCATCAATAAATACAAGAGAACCAGTTCCATTGGCAGCCATACATGCCCACGCCATGACACTACCACCACCATGCTTCACTGATGAGGTGGTATGCTTAGGATCATGAGCAGTTCCTTTTTCCTTCTCCATACTCTTCTCTTCCCATCACTCTGGTACAAGTTGATCTCGGTCTCATCTGTCCATAGGATGTTGTTCCAGAACTGTGAAAGGCTTTTTTAGATGTCGTTTGGCAAACTCTAATCTGGCCTTCCTGTTTTTGAGGCTCACCAATGGTTTCCATCTTGTGGTGAACCCTCTGTATTCACTCTGGTGAAGTCTTCTCTTGATTGTTGACTTTGACACACATACACCTACCTCCTGGAGAGTGTTCTTGATCTGGCCAACTGTTGTGAAGGATGTTTTCTTCTCCAGGGAAAGAATTTTTCGGTCATGCAGCACAGTTGTTTTCCGTGGTCTTCCAGGTCTTTTGGTGTTGCTGAGCTCTCCGGTGCGTTCCTTCTTTTTAAGAATGTTCCAAACAGTTGTTTTGGCCACGCCTAATGTTTTTGCTATCTCTCTGATGGGTTTGTTTTGTTTTTTCAGCCTAATGATGGCTTGCTTCACTGATAGTGACAGCTCTTTGGATCTCATCTGGAGAGTTGACAGCAACAGATTCCAAATGCAAATAGCACACTTGAAATGAACTCTGGACCTTTTATCTGCTCATTGTAATTGGGATTATGAGGGAAAAACACACACCTGGCCATGGAACAGCTGAGAAGCTAATTGTCCCATTACTTTTGGTCCCTTAACAAGTGGGAGGCACATATGCAAACTGTTGTAATTCCTACACCGTTCACCTGATTTGGATGTAAATACCCTCAAATTAAAGCTGACAGTCTGCAGTTAAAGCACATCTTGTTTGTTTTATTTCAAATCCATGTGTGGTGGTGTATAGAGCCAAAAATGTTAGAATGGTGTCGATGTCCCAATATTTATGGACCTGACTGTATATATTGTACATTCACATCAGTCCCTAACAGGGGCAGACTGACCATTTGGAACCTCGGGCACTGCCCGAGGGCCCAGGGTCAGTAGGGGGCCCCATGAGATGCCCCTAATACCTTTTTCATAGGCTTTTTTGAGTTTGGGCAAGGACACAGGGGCCCCATGATCCCCTATTTCCCAGGGGCCCCATGAGTTGTCAGTCCGTCCCTGGTCCCTAACCCTCAAGGGACATACAATCTAAGGTCCCTAACTCACATTCATACATACACATACTAGGGACAATTAACCTACCAGCATGTCTTTGGAGTGTGGGAGGAAACCAGAGTACCCGGAGGAAACCCACACAGCGACACGGAGAACATGCAAACTCCAGGCAGGTGGTGCCGTGGTTGGGATTCAAACCAACAACCCTAGTACTGCCAGGTGGAAGTGCTGACCATTTAGCCACTGTGCAACATGTCTTTATTTTGTCAGCGCACACAAATGAAGCATGTTTGCATGAACTGAAGACATTGTAAATGAGGCAAATTGCTTTGTTCCTGGTCGGGACTGTGCTTGGCAATGGATCCGCAATGATGCTGGGGTGAACAAAGTCAATGTCCCTGTTACCTTTCTTGCAACACCTTTTTAACTTTTCAATCTCAAGCTGCCACCTACTGGCTCCAGTCTGAACTGCGCCTAAGACTCTGCCTGTCGGTGATTGTCGGTCTGAAAGCCAGATTTTATAGGTGATGGATGTTCTGATATCTTGCTCAGCTTCAGAATAAAACTGCAAATCATAAAACTTGTGTAAAAGTCTGTTTTAGGCCAAGGAGGCACTACTGGCCACCAACGCCCAGCACCCTACCGACCGCCGATCTCCTCTGCCATCTGTACTCCTATTACTCATAAGTAGAAAACTGAGGTGTGAATGTAAGGAATGCGCTGTTCAAAGCAGGGGCGGACTGACAACTCATGGGGCCCCAGGGCAATAGGTGATCATGGGGCCCCTGTGTCCTTGCCCAAACTCAAAAAAGCCTATGAAAAAGGTACCAGGGACATCTCATAGAGCCCCCTACTGACCCCAGGGGATCATGGGGCCCCTGTGTCCTTGCCCAAACTCAAAAAAGCCTATGAACAAGGTACCAGGGGCATCTCATGGGGCCCCCTACTGACCCCGGGCCCTCGGGCAGTGCCCGAGTTTCCAAATGGTCAGTCCGCCCCTGGTTCAAAGGTGTCCCCTGTGCTCCTTCCCAGTGGTGTCCCTAGGCAGGCGCGGGGGGTGCGCGCTGCATCGGGTGAAACCTACCGCACAGGGTGACACCGGACCTGCTCCATGAAAAGGTAAGTTGTAAAGCAAGCCGACGATCCCAGCAGGATGGATCGGATCTGCGGATTGAGCATAATGGATTGAAGTCCGATCCATTCCACACCGGACCGGCTCCACGAAAAGGTAAGTTGTAAAGCATGCCGATGATCCCCGCAGGATGGATCGGATCTGCAGATTGAGCATAATGGATCGGAGTCCGATCCATTATGCTCAATCCGCAGATCCGATCTATTCTGCGGGGATCGTAGGAGCGGGTGTCACAAGTGTTATCGCACCGGGTGACACCAACCCTAGGGACGCCCCTGCTCCTTCCTCCAGAGTGGGGACACTCGAATACCGGAGGTGTGTTATTGGCCAGATCACCAGAAGGGGAACAAAGTGGAAAATAGCCTAAAAAAAGGAAAACTAATGCAGCCACAATATCTAATGATTGGTAAGCTGCAGTATTTTACGTTTTTGATTTGGGGTTACAATCAGAATTCTATATTGAACACGTGTATGGTGTGATCTACAGGGAAGACATATACAGTTTGTGCATAGACTTACAATCTGTAACTGCTGAACCATCTCTTCTCTGTAGGCCAGCTCCCGCTTCATCTGATCATGGAAGTTGTCTAGTAAAACAAATGTATAAAAGACCATTAATATACATAATGACATTATTAAACTCATGAATGTATTCCCATATTTATACATTTCCAGCATGTTATGCAAATTGCTCTTTTGTTTTTTTTTTTTTCATTTTTTCGCATTGGTCCCCGCGCTAAAATGTCACATTCACACTGATAGAAGCACACCCACCCACTAAGATCAGGTTGGTCAGGCACCAATTGGTCTGCTGGAATGTCTGAATATACAGGTGTGCTCAAAAAGTTTGCATTTCCTGGAAGAAATCGTGACATTTTGGCATTTATATTGAAAATATGACTGATCATGCAAAAAAACTGTCCTTTATTTAAGGACAGTGATCATATGAAGCCATTTACTATCACATAGTTGTTTGGCTCCTTTTTAAATCATAATGATAACAGAAATCCCCCAACTGGTCCTGATCCAAAGTTCCCATCCCCTGGAATGTTCGGCCTTGGTACAGACACACAAGGGGACACACACGGATTACAATGACAATTAAAGATTAATTTCCCACATCTGTGACTTTTTAAATTGCAATTAGCGTCTGTGTAAATAATCAATTAGTTTGTTAGCTGTCATGTGGATGCACTGAGCAGGCTAGATACTGAGCCATGGGGAGCAGAAAAGAACTGTCTAAATACTGAGCCATGGGGAGTAGAAAAGTACTGTCGAGATACTGAGCCATGGGGAACAGAAAAGAACTGTCTAAATACTGAGCCATGGGGAGTAGAAAAAAAACTGTCGAGATACTGAGCCATGGGGAGCAGAAAAGAACTGTCAAAAGACCTGTGTAACAAGGTAATGGAACTTTATAAAGATGGAAAAGGATATAAATAGACATTCAAAGCCTTGAATATGCCAATCAGTCCTATTTTTAAAAATATATATTTTTTTATATATATATTTCTTCAGATTTTGTTTAACATATAAAAAAGTCATTTTAACATATATTTTTATATATATTTGTAAATGCATTAAAAAATGTAGCTTTGTCTTTTTAAAGACATACAGTATATTTTAAATGTATTTTTAAAAATATTTTTCATATATTTTGTAATAAAAACGCATTTAAAAATGCAGTATATATATATATATATTTATTTATTTATTGAAATATATTTTGAAGTATATTGAATATGGCCAAATTGTAGTATTTCAAATATATGGCAATATATTTGCGAAGAATATTTTTAAAATGTATTTCAAATATATTTTTCTTCCATGTGGGAAGGGTAAAAAAATGCACAGTTGAGTTGCGGTTTTAGCGCCCCCCCCCCCCAACTGCCTCTCCCCTTAGTCTTCAATGGTAGCGAACAGGGGTGTTCACATGCCGTGGTCGCGATGCTTCACTTTGCCCTTGTGGCAGAAATTATTAAATAAGTCATGTCTTCCAAATGCGACCCATTCAAGCGAATGGGGAACACCGCACACACCCTGTAACTGCATGCAATGCACACTTTTCCGGCATGCTTGTTTGGCCAAAATGGATTTATAAGAGGCGGTGAGTAGACGTCAGGAACAACGAGCCGGGCGCCAGGTCAGTGCAGATAAAAACAATTGAGCTTTACTTTAAAACACTTAAGCCGGCCATACACGGGTTTAATTCCAAAATAACTTTCTTTCTAAAAATTTTCGTTTGAGTTTCGCACTATTACTGGGTCACAGAAACGGACGATTTTTTGTGTGACAATCAAATTTGAGTGATTGGGCATGTTGAAAATTTTTTTGAAAAGCGAACAAATTTTGAATCAATTATGGGAGATTCGTGCAGGAAATATAAAGCTGTGACCTGGAAAGAAAAGAAAATTCTTGGCCAAGAAAATTCTTTTCTGTAGCAACATGAGAAATTGTAGGTTTGGTTGGTCGAATTTCGAAATCAATGGTGGCACCATCGGATTACAAAACGTACAAAATTTCTGATTTTCTAAAGAAAATTTGTTCAGAATTCAACCCATGTATGGCCTGCATTACATTTAAAACTCCCTCGATTGTTTTTATCCACACTGACCCGACACCTGGCTTGTCGTTCCTTTGCATACTTCTGGGGGATCATCCCATCCTTGGTGAGGAGCTGCCGGTCTGTTCCTGTGTTTCTTCAGCTTCCACAGTCCATCCCCCTTCCCACTCTGCACATCACTTGGATGGACTTATTGACTGAGGTATCCTGACCACATCGGAGTTCGCCCAGTATCCTGTCCTCACTCCATTCACCCTGTGGACTGCCTTTTTTCCTATTATCTACTCATTCTTTCCATGTTCTGTGCGAGCGCTGAATAGTTGTTCATTGTTACTGATCATCATCATATATGGTGAGTAGATGTCACATTGCCTTCTCACTGCCTGTCAATCACCTCTGAAAAATGTTCCCAATGTGGATTTAGACGCACGGCTAAACCTAACTGTAGAAGTCTGGCAAAGAAGACATGCAAAGTCTCTTCTGCCAAAAAAAAAAAAATGCCCCACCATTCCTCAAGCAATTTTCCTGTGCGTTGTACAACCTCCACTCATTCCTGACATCTATGAGATACCAGGAATAGAGACGGTAATGAGGACAATGCAACTCTTGTAGGTACACCAGGGTTTCTCAGCCAAGATTCCATGGATCCCTAGGGTTCCTCCAGAGGTTGCTCGGGGTTCCTTGAGCAATGAGCAGTTCTACCTATCAGATAAGTTCCTACTGACACAATTTTTAGCTCTCTGTAGGAAGTAATTCTTTCCAGTGACCACAAGTGTAAGGAACATTCTTCCCGCTGACCATCAAGGTATCATGAGCTGTAGACCATCCCTCTGACCATGAAGGTATCATGAGCTGTAGACCATCCCACTGACAATAAGGATATCATGAGCTGTAGACCATCCCACTGACCATCAAGGTATCATGAGCTGTAGACCATCCCACTGACCATCAAGGTATCATGTGCTGTAGACCATCCCACTGACAATAAGGATATCATGAGCTGTAGACCATCCCACTGACCATCAAGGTATCATGAGCTGTAGACCATCCCACTGACCATCAAGGTATCATGTGCTGTAGACAATCCCAGTGGCCATCAAGGTATCATGAGCTGTAGACCATCCCACTGACCATCAAGGTATCATGAGCTGTAGACCATCCCACTGACCATCAAGGTATCATGAGCTGTAGACCATCCCACTGACCATCAAGGTATCATGTGCTGTAGACCATCCCACTGACAATAAGGATATCATGAGCTGTAGACCATCCCACTGACCATCAAGGTATCATGAGCTGTAGACCATCCCACTGACCATCAAGGTATCATGTGCTGTAGACAATCCCAGTGGCCATCAAGGTATCATGAGCTGTAGACCATCCCACTGACCATCAAGGTATCATGAGCTGTAGACCATCCCACTGACCATCAAGGTATCATGAGCTGTAAACCATCCCAGTGACCATCACACTAATGTACCATGAGCTGTAGATATAGTCATCTTTAGCAGGGGTTCCGTGAGACCGGAAAATTACTTCAAGGGTACCTCTATGTTAAAGAAGGTTGAGAAAGGCTGATGTAGAACATCAGTGGCCACCCCATGGTTGAAGAGGAAAGACAGGGGACCCTGAAGAAGCATGGGGGAAGAAGATGGCGGGGGATGGTGTGAATGAATGCCTGGATAGATGAGAGCTGGAGAAGAGCCCTGCCATAGGTACGTGTGCCATAGTGTGCAAATTCTGATTTCATAAACATTTCCTATTAAGTCCTGGTTCACACTGATGGGGTGCGGAATTTGCAGCGTTTTCTGTGCAAATTCCGTACCGCATCAGAATCGCACCCCGTCCATGCGAACCGCTGCTGGTGTGTATGTTGAGTTAACAAACACCACGAAATTGGTCCACAAAATGCAGTGCGATGTGCAGAATCGGATCGCATAGGTGTGAATACCCATGTGATCTGATTCTAGTGCGGACCAAAATAAAAAGGGTTCTGTAACTTTTTGGTGCGGATGCGGTGCGGCTTGAGCCATATAAAATGTATGTCTCCGATCGCACCGCACATAAATCGCATGTGATTTGCACAGGAATGCGGTGCGGTTCCTGTGCGAATCACATGCGATGTGCCGCACCCAATAGGCTAACGCAGAGTTCCAGTTGAATAAAATTTTTTTAAATTAAAATACAGACACTTACCTGTCCCTCGTTCCAGCGGAGTCCTCACCACGGCTGGTTTCACCAGCCATCTTCTCTCCCTGGCGCTGGCATCTTCAGCTTGAGGCCTCACAGCTGAGTCCCCACTGCGCATGTGCTTTGTGAATGGCCCCGTAGTCTTCTGGGACCTGTCATGTGTCCCAGAAGACTACGGGGAGGGAGGACAACTTCTGCTTCGATCGCCTAGGTCAGTGGTGGGCAACCTTTTTTTTTCAACTGAGCCAAATCTCGCCAAAACCACGATTGAAATTTATTTTGAGAGCCACATTTTTAAAACTGAAAATACATCCCCCATATAAAATTCATCCCCCCATAGTAATTCATCCCCCATAGTAATTCATCCCCCATAGTAATTCATCCCCCATATAGTAATTCATCCCCCATAGTAATTCATCCCCCATAGTAATTCATCCCCCATATAGTAATTCATCCCCCATAGTAATTCATCCCCCATATAGTAATTCATCCCCCATAGTAATTAATCCCCCATATAGTAATTCATCCCCCATAGTAATTAATCCCCATATAGTAATTCACCCCCCATATAGTAATTCATCATCCCCCCCATATAGTAATTCATCCCCCATAGTAATTAATCCCCCATATAGTAATTCATCCCCCATATAGTAATTCATCCCCCCTATAGAAATTCATTCCCCATATAGTAATTCATTCCCCATATAGTAATTCATCCCCCATAGTAATTAATCCCCCATATAGTAATTCATCCCCCATAGTAATTCATCCCCCATAGTAATTAATCCCCCATATAGTAATCATCCCCCATATAGTAATTAATCCCCCATATAG